TTTGTTTATTAATTCTAACCCCCCCCACCCCCATACCACCCAGCCCAACCCGCCTCTTACCCAAACTAGTTGACGAAACCCAAAAAAAATATTGAGCCCAGACTGGGGCCGTACCGGCCGGGCCGGTACCAAAGGGACTGCAGCCCGAGACCGCCCCCAAAAATTCCCGGGTCGGTCCTAGGCCCGGAACCGGTCCCGGTCAACCAGTCTGGTCCGGTCCTGCATAGTGGCTGTCTGGTCCAGTTCTCGGGCCAGCCAGACCAGAACCGGGCAACCCCTAGTCGTACCCCACCAGCCCCGACGACAACTACTGCCGCCGACCGCCACCTACCCGTTCCCCTTCCTTGACTTGACTCCGAAGACACCACCAAACCGGTCTTTCTCCATCTCCGTGACAGTATGGCCCCCTCAAGGTGCCCCACAGCTGCCTGCCTATCACCCCCTGCACAGGAATGGCCGTCAAAGATCTGAATTTGCGGCCACAGATTTGAATTTACAGTCAATCAGCGCCATATTTGAAGGGGAGATGAGAGGGATGGAGCAAGCCAGCGAATAACGGAGAAGAAAGCAGCAGCGATGAAAAAGATGAAGCTAGTCGGCGCCAGCGTTGCTGGCCATCACCGTCGCTTCTCGTTGGTGACGAAATGGTGGTTGCCGTCGTCATCTTCGCTGGAGCTCGCTGTCGTCGCGTGTGCTTGTGGAGGAAGGAGCGAAGATGGTGGAGGAAGGATCGATGCGTGTGCGGGTGACTTAACTCACATTTTTGTCCAGTTAAAATAAGGTCATATTTTGGTCGATCCAAACTTCATAACTAATATTTTTTCCATTATTTCTATTATTATTCTTACAACATGTTGAATTATGTTATTTATTAGGTATATGTATAATGTATAAATGGAACCCAGTTGCATTTATAAAAACAGTTCTGTTTTAGTTGAAAGCAAATGGGTCCAGTTCAAATCGGGTCTAAAACCGATGCCATTTCCATCCTAGCAATGGGATTCATAGGGAGGAGAGAAGGGAATAGAAAAAAGAGATGTTTTAGTAGAAAATGTCATTGAATAAGAAGGGGAAATGGTCTTCTGTGATGGTTGTTTCAGTTGGCCACAGAGAGATTGTAATTAAGAGCAAGGCAGTGAAATCTGCCAATCCTGATCGGGAAGTAATGTATTTCGCAGCACTGCCATTGTGTTTTGATCTTCTCTTGAAGGGTTGGCTGACATTTTGCTCTTAACGCATAAAAAGGCTCTTATTGTGCATCATAAACTATGTCATAATTAGATAAATACCTCTAGTATTTTTTGTTGAATATGCGCTTAAAGGTTGACTCAACTTCTCAAAACCTAATTTGCTACCACTTTACCATAGTCTGTTTGCTTTGTAAAATTTTGTGAAAGTTATGTTTAACAATGTCACATTTAAAAGATGAGTGTGGCAGAGATGCGTATGTTGCGTTGGATGTGTGGACATATTAGAAAATACCGCTTGGGAAAGAGAATCAAACAAAAGGTGGGAGTAACTCCTGTAGAAGATAAAAATATAAGATGTAGGAGTTTCGATTGCAGTGGTTTGGTCATGTTCGCAGAAGAGTGGGTGGTGATGCACATGTTAGACGAGAAAAGGCGAGAATGAGAGAGAGGAAGACCCAATTAGACTTGGATTAGAGGAATCATGTTAGACTCTACAAGACCAATCTAACAATACACAGAGTAAAATTCACAGTACATAAGTAACTTCTTATTCAGGAACAAGGCAACAAGGGCCAGAGGCCTTAGGCAACAGTAGCGTACAGTTTACAGATTCAATACAACATATCCCCACAATTACTAATGCTTATTCTATTTATAGTAGGACAGGTCAACACCCGGTTAGTTATTAGCTCAAACCGTCTTGACTAATAACAAACCCTATTTCTAGAATACGCTTTATATTTATCTCTTATCTTCATATTCGTAAAGTCTCTATCAAATCTCCCCTCCTAAACATCCACCTTGCCCTCAAGGTGGGCGATAGGTAGCAACCAAAATCTCCTTTTTCTTCTTCATCCTAGCGCTCCTGCCTTCCCAATATTTCACAAATTTCTGAAAGAGACACTTCATTACTCGGTCTTGCCAATTCACAGACGTTTCCCGAACATCCCTGCTATTAAGAGGCAACATAGGAACTGAGCCACCGCTTGTGCATGAAGATACAAAGGCAGCTCCTTCCTTGGTCTGGATATTAAGATCAATAGTCTCTTGTTCCATGTTCTGTCCCTGTTTATCTTTATAACACCGTAAATACCCTTCCACATTTGGTTGCAGAATCTCTGCACTGATTGTGATAGAATCATCTTTTTCATTTAGGGTTTTAGCCCCTCTAATTGAACAATTCTGACTCTTCTGCTTCCATATGAGGATCTGTTTTTGGAAATTGATTGCCATGTCTCCCAATGGCATTAACCACTCCAATCCCAAAATCACATCATTCTCTCCCAGCTCTAAGGTGTAGAAAGTTTGATTGATTTCATTACCCTGCACCATCAGCTTTAATCCCATGCATCTGCCTTGGTTGTATATGAATTCCCCATTACCTATTTGTACCCTATATCCTTTGATTGGATTGAAAGGAATACCCCACTTGTCCACTAATCTCTGAGATATAAAGTTGTGGGTAGCCCCACTGTCAATGAGAATATTGACCCTCTTATCTTCTGCAGCCCACTTCAAATTCCCCACCATCTTAAAAGTTCTTCCAGAATCTATACCTTCCTTGCTAATTCCAGACAATTGCATTGATTTTAGTTCAGGATGAGGTCCCTCTTCTTCTTCAGAACTGCTGCAATCCACTTCAGTGTCGGCCTCTTCTTCAGAGTGTTCAACCAGAACCATTTTGAAATTCCTCATCCTGCATTCATGCCCCCTATTCCAGTTCTCCCCACATTTGAAACATAATCCTTTCTTACTCCTTTCCATCAATTCTTGTTGGGATAATCTGGGGCCTATTTTTCCTGAACTTGAACCTCCACCAGTCTTCACATTCTTATTGTCATTACTATCCTTTCCATCAGAATGTGTAAACATTGGATTACTGCTACTTCTCATCCCTTCTTCCCATTTCTGATAACTGTTTCCTTTAGGTGCAGTGTTCTTCCATGGTCTTTTTCCTTCTTCTTTATTCCTTCTTAACAGGATTTCTTCATTCTTGTCTTCAATCAGCTGTGCAATATCCATAATTTTGCCAAGATCTTTGGTTTTATACAGCTTAAGTTCAGCCCTGATATCTTTCTTTAATCCATTTAAGAAAATAGCCCTCATTACCTTCCTATCCAGTCCTTCTTGACAAGATATAGCTGTTTCAAACTGTACTCGGTACTCTTGTACAGAGTTCTTGTGTTTCAACTTCAGTAGAGGACCCAATGGATTCTGAATTAACTCTGGCTGAAAACGACGAAGCAGTGCCTTCTTCTTCTTCAACTGCTCCCAAGTCCTTCCTCTTGCTTGTTTCTCCCACCATTGAATCCATCCTAGAGCTTTGCCTTCCATAACTACTACTGCCACTTCTATCTTCTCCTCCTCTTCTGTATTGTTGAGTCGGAAATACCTATCGATTCTGACAAGCCAACCAAAAGCGTCTTCACCGTTGAACAAAGGTAAATCGATTTTCTGGTGCAACTGGTGGTGACGTCGCTGTTGGTGCGGTGGTGAATACTCCCGGTGCCCTTCCGACTCATCGGAACTTTCTTCCAATCGCGTCGCGTGTTGATGCAGTAGAGGACGCGATGAATGTCGCGAGGTTGACGATGCTTGCGATCGACTCCTCGATCGATTATTTTCTCTCGCATTCAACTTTGCCAGAATCGCGTTCAAGATTTCCTTCGTCTCTTGATGATTTCTCTCCAACTCATCCACTCTTGCTTCCATTTTCCCTCGCGTCCAAACCATCCACGACGATTACTGTCTCTGATACCAATGTTAGACTCTACAAGACCAATCTAACAATACACAGAGTAAAATTCACAGTACATAAGTAACTTCTTATTCAGGAACAAGGCAACAAGGGCCAGAGGCCTTAGGCAACAGTAGCGTACAGTTTACAGATTCAATACAACATATCCCCACAATTACTAATGCTTATTCTATTTATAGTAGGACAGGTCAACACCCGGTTAGTTATTAGCTCAAACCGTCTTGACTAATAACAAACCCTATTTCTAGAATACGCTTTATATTTATCTCTTATCTTCATATTCGTAAAGTCTCTATCAAATCATAACTGATATGCTTCTTTTTGGCTTGGATGAGAGAACAACTTTGGAGACAACAATGTAGAGGGCGCATATTCGCGGACGATTGATCTTTTCTCTCTCGTTTTCTTTTATCTTTCTTATCTTTCCATATTTTTATGTTTTTTTTTGTCTTATGTTCTTTTATTTCTTATCTATAATCTTTCTTATGTTATGTTATTTTATCTTATATTTGTGTTTATCTTATCCATTTATCTTAACCGTCTTTTTATTTTTCTTATCTTTCTCCTCTTTTTGATTGTGACAACATGGATCAAATAAGGCGTGGTTGTTGTTGTTGTTATGTTTAAATTTTTTTCTTATATTTGTGTTTATCTTATCCATTTATCTTAACTATCTTTTTATTTTTCTTATCTTTCTCCTCTTTTTTATAAACATTATTTTTATCCTTTTTATTTTATCATTTTTAGGTCTATTCATCTCTATTTATATTATCTTTTTCTAATAGCTTATCTTTGTTATCTTTATATGCTTTTTTTTCCCTTTTGGTGGTGATATCATGTATAGATTCATGTTAGCCGACCCCAATATCTTTTGGGACTAAGGCTTGGATGTTGTTGTATCTTTCTCCTCTTCTTGACTGTGACAACATGGATCAAATGAGGCGTGTTGTTGTTGTTATGTTTAAAATATCTGTTGACTTCATTTGTTGTTGTTTGTTGGTTTCATCATATGTGCGCACATTTAAACACATAATCTCTTCCTTTTCATACAGGCAAATGCAACCTTGAATAGTCCAGCCACAAGCTGGGAAGGAAACCCTTTGCACCAAGCTGCATATTTTGGCCACCAAGAAATTGTGAAATACTTATTGGAAAATGGAGCAGATCCAAACATTAAATGTGTTACAAGGTTTTCGGATGATGTATGTTTTCCTAATCTTCTAATTGACTATTTGTGCATGATTTACTTTGTTAACAATGGCGGGTGGCACTACATATAAATATAAATCAAGTGCATGGTGTTGTAGACTTGCACTAAAGGGAGTGTTTGCAATAGCTTAAAAAAAGCGCTTCTCGGTTTTTGGCATAAAAAGCTAAAATTATTGTTTACAAGTGACAACTTCTTCTTAAAAAAGCGCTTCTCGGCTTTTGGGTGAAAAGTGCTTTTTACCTTTTCTATTACACAAAAAACACTTATTTTACCGAACACTACAAAATCACTTGTATGTAACAACTTTTACTTTTCAAATTCACTTTTTCCTCAAACACTATCAACTTTTACTTTTACTTTTAATCACTTTTCCCAAAACCACTTCAAAAAGTGCTTCTTTTAAGCAAAACATTTGCAAACACTCCCTAAATAGCTTAACCAGTGCGGATTAGGTGAAGTAAATTACATACATAATAATTATATTTAGATGTCACACTTCATTGGTAATCATGAAGAACTTTTAAGTGAAATATTGTAACAAATTTGTACAAATATTGTAACATGTGTAAATATCAAAAGTTACAAAAAGTGTACCCGTAGTCTTGTTGTAGTCTTGTAGAGCACATAAGTGCAGAACAATACAAAATAAAAGGTTAATAAGTTAGAAAATTTTGACGATCATTATTAGCACTTCTTAGGGCACTTTTTTCATTAACTATTACGTTGTACTTTCAAACATTTGCACATTTTTTTACACTGTGTCTTGTGATTAAAGCTCATGTAGTCCATCCATTTGCTATTGATTAACGGCCAAAGATTTATTTTTACCTTTTCTAGGAAGACTACTTTTTACTTGAACCCCCACCCCTATATATATAAACGTAAAACACACATGCAGGCCACACAAGCTTAGGGGGGTGTATTCATTCAAGACTATTTAAGACATTTTAGGATTATGAGATTTTAGGAGACATTTGAGACTTATGTAGATTTGTCAAGATTTGTGTGGATTTGGACATGAGACATATTAAGACATTTTTGGATTTTAATCATTTAAATTTTCCCTTAAAATTAAAAAGTGTCATTAAGGATAATAATTCCACATTGGGTATTCATATTATGTAAATGCTTTTTTTTTCATAGAACACATTGGGTATTCATAAAAACCTGGGTAACTGAGTTAAAATTACAACATCAAGAAAAAATAAGACTCGCCAACAAGGCAAAAATTAACACCTACCTCTTCTTAAATCCTAATACATCACATTCGTACACCACATAACTCAATTCACCTAAGACAATCATATTTTCAGCAGTTTCAAGTCATAAGCATCATCACCAACATACCACATGTATGAAAGCATAAAACAAAAATAACTTAACATAAATGCTACTTGGACAATCACATGACCTATACTAGTTCATAGCATCATTCCACATATTAGATGCTATTGTGTCCCTCCAAGCATTTGCATTAGCCCTTTGTTGTTCTTGACTTTCAAAATATTGTTCAACATCTTCCGCTTCAAAAGATCGGATTTCATCTTCAGGATCAATCGGAAATTCATCAGAGCGACATTCTTTTCGTAGAAAGTTATGCAATCCAACACACGCAAGCACTAGCTCGGCTTGAGTGCGGAAAGGAAACGGGGGGGATGTTTTGAAAATGACGAACCTTGACTTGAATATCCCAAATATCCTTTCAACTACGTTCCTTAGTGAAGCATGACGAAGATTAAAAAGTTCCTTCGAATTATTTGGATCACGACCTTGACCAGCAAAATCTTGTAGGTGATAGCGGGTACCTCGAAAAGGTGCTAATAGTTGGAAGAATAATAATAGCAAATAGTAATTGTAATAACAATAAAAACACCAAATAGGTGATAGTAGTATATAACAACCACATTGATTACTACTGATAAAGGCAATATATAATGTCACACAGGCGTACCATTGGGAACTTTCAGACCGTTTTCCCTTGTCAATGCATCAGTCAAAACTTTTGAATCGTGTGCTGATCCCTCCCAGCCACTCAACACATACATAAATTGTAGATCAAAGTTACAAGTAGCCAAAACGATTGTTCTGACCAACAATAACTAAGAATGTTGCAAGCATTTCCTCAATGCTGACGTACCTTGTATCTGCCAACAATTGTTTCTCCCTAATAATATGGCATAATTTCAAGAAAACGTCTGGATACATTCTATAAATATCCCGAAAATCTTTTGGATCTTCCTTCAGGATTTTATGAATATAGTCATAGCCATCTCTAGTTTTTGGTCTCCTCGCAAGTGAGTAACGGTTCACACGATTCTGATGCATGTTAACTACGTGCAAGCTTAACATGTATATGGCGGTCTGAATGACTACAAATAAATATCTAATATGTCTATACATATCTTCTCTACTCTCATCTTCTTCAATCTCATCCATATCACTATCATTATCTTGGGGCATGTCACTATGTGACATTATGTGTACTGTTGAACAAAAAACTGAACCACATTAAGCAAAGAAACAATTAAATCCAAATGCAAATCATGAATACATAATGGTAATGTCCAAAAAAAATAAACATACAAATAATCTCAAAGTAGTGTAAATTTGTTTTATACGAACTTACAAGAAAGTGAAAAACTCCAAAATGTAAAATATAGTGTGGCAGTGTGGCAATCATATTCTGGAAAATATAGTGTGGCAGTGTACTAGTTCAATCCTAACAAGTCTTTTTCGTATTATTATTATGAATTAAAAAATAATCCATTACTCATTAAAAACAAATTTATTAATATACAAGCTGTTGCACCACTCAATATACGATTATTACCAGTAATACTGTAATAGCCATATTGTTACAAGACCCAAAAGGTTATGACTTGAACAATCGACACCCCTAACTCGTATAAAATCAGCCGCAAGTATACAGAACGAAGAAAAGGATGAAAAATCAATACACTTTCACAGCTAGATGGTGAAGAAATACGCACTAACCCTAGATTGATGGAGCTGTTCTTGATTTCCCAAACTCAGTATTTGCGTCGCAGCCTCTTCTTCGCGTCCCAGCTTTGCGCGTCTAGCAGATGGATTTCCAAGTCTCACGTATGGGGGTGAGATTTGGGAATGGGATTTGAGCTTGTATTTGGGCGTGTAAGTTTGGATAAGTCCAGGTCCGAAAATAAAATCCAAGTCTCGGTCCAAAATGAATACACCTAGACATTTTGGGATTTATAAAATGTCTTAAAATGTCTTGTTTAAATACACCCAGATTTCAGAAATCCTAAAATGTCTTAAAATGTCTGAAATGAATACACCCCCCTTAGTCTATCCTAAATAATACTCACTCCGTCTCTAATTTTTTTACCAACTTTCCTTTTTTGGTTGTCCCACTAACTTTGCCACTTTCCCTTTTATATAAGGAACTAATTTTTTCACCCGTGTGTTTTACGTGGTGAAAAACTATTTTATTTGTTAGTAATTTAATTATGGGATAAGAGTCAGATAGAGCTTCGAACTCGAAAAAAAATGTCAAATAAGGTCATATTTCGGATGCTCTGTCTGGCCGACGCCATTTGGGGCGGTTCCCGATGGAATTTTTTGATGAAATTTTTTGAGCATCTTCCTCATTAAGTCTAGTTTACCCATACCAAATTTCAGCTAAAAATTCAACCGGGAAGGTTGTCAAATAATTTTCCGAAATATACGGCGTTGTTTAACTTCACAGTTATCTTCAAAAACTCATTTGACTACCTTCCCGGTTGAGTTTTTAGCTGAAATTTGGTATGGGTAAACTAGACTTAATGAGGAAGATGCTCAAAAAATTTTATCAAAAAATTCCATCGGGAACCGTCCCAAATGGCGTCGGCCAGACAGAGCATCCGAAATATGACCTTATTTGACATTTTTTTCGAGTTCGAGGCCCTATCTGACCCTTATCCCTTTAATTATCTTCTGAAATGAATGCATAACATTTTTGCCTTTGAACTTAAAACTTCTCAATTTTATTTAAGATATAATGTAACATTACAAATTGGTATAAATCACATTTAATGTGCAATTGGTTGGTCTACCACCATCGTGGTAAGAATATCCCCACATTTTCAAGCGACTGGCCTTGACTCTTATTGATCATCATCACATAGCTAACCATTCGGAGGAATTTCTTGCGTTGGAGGTGTATGTCAATCTCACGTTAGAAGAAGTCAAGTAAAATTTGGGAATGAAATGTTTTTGGCCCACAGTACGCCCTAACAACATTTTTGCCTCGATAATATGTTTGCCATGTCACATCACTAAAACCGAGCACTATTTCACAAGTTAGCTGGTCACGTAATTATATTTGATCATAGAAGTAAAACCTCAATCACACATTTTTCCCTTTATTAAGGGACGGAGGGAGTAATAATAATAACAACTCACCATATTGAAAGGTTTAACTATTAAAATATTAACCCATAGCATAAAACACAATTACTCCTTTTTAATACACACCACATCATCATTTAAATTCAATTTGCTTTTTTATCCCACACCTATTATAAGGGTATAGGCAAGATACGTAGTAGGGAGTAATTTATTTATGACCTCAAATCCCACCACCAACCCTGCGACCCAATATAGTATTCTAATATGGAGTATTCTGTTATCGACGAAGTAAACAAATCTACCTAGAAGAGGAGAAACAAAGCAGCAGTCTGGTTGCAGAAGGAGAAAGAGTTGAGAGTTTGGGACTTACTGACGGCAGCTAAACACAACGGCCTGGGTATGAATGAAGATGAGGACTTTTGCTGAAGTCATCGAATTGGTGAAGCAGACTAGGGCTAGGTTTAATTCTACAAATTGGAGCATTTCCATGCACCCTGAGTCTGTCAAGTAACAATTACACAGTTAGAAACTTAGAACTAAACTTAGTATCACAGCGCAAAACTAGTAAAGCACAAAAATTCAAAGCTGTACTATGGGTTGAACTGTTATGCTGAGTTGAATTTACTAGGTAAAATGTGGGCCAGATATTCAATCAACCAATGGAACCCACTTGGCTCCTTATCGCCATAAAGGGTTGAACTGCCGCGAAGAATATATCATGCCTTCGCCATACCTCTGTTATAGTTTCTATTTGACAACCTTGATGATTTAGTAACATAATGCTTGCAATGAAACTAGAAACTACTATGCCACACGATTGTTGGAATTATTTTTGTGTCTTTTATGTGTGGTTATGTAACACCCCGCCCGTAGGGCCCGAGGTAGTTACTTGATATGAAGCAGGAAGAACATGTGGCGGGACCGGACTTGGGCCCACTTCCGTGGGCCGGTTACGGGCTGTTTAATTAATATTTATTATTCCTTTTATTTTGTTTCCTAATTTAATTTGTTTCCTAGTAGGATTTATTTAGGACTTCTATTCTTACTAGAATTAGAGGTTTCATATTTCTATTTAGTTTCCTAGAATGATTTAATTAGGAGTTCTATTAGAACTAGAGGTTTCCTATTCTATTTAGTTTCCTAGAATAATTTAATCAGGATTCCTATTCTTATTAGACCTAGAGGGTTATTTATACCCCTTGTATGCTTCATTCTTGATAATCTTGGAATAAAAGTTGGTTTAGCCTTTTGGCTCTGGGCAACGGTATTTATTTATCGTTGATTATCTGGGCAACGGTTCACCCCATTGATTTTATTTTTTCTGTTCTTATCAATTGGTCCGACCTGCCGGATCCCCGTCCCGCCAAGATGACAAGAACTCAGAACGAACGACTGACGGAATTGGAGGCTGAACAGGCCCTGGTAAATCAAAAGCTCGATTCACAAGGAGAGAAACTGGATGTACTGGCTCGGAAACAGGAGGAGCAGGCCGCCCGGCTTGCGGAAATCGCAGAATCCCTGGCAGCAATCGCAAAGGCCATGGTACCGCCAGCGAAGTCTCCAAGCACGACCATCGAGAGCGGCTCCTCCGCCCACATCGCGACTGCTTTCACCGACGAGGGCGGACCGCGCAGCGCATCCACGACACTGCTTCCCTCATTCGACGGTGAAGACCCAATTGGGTGGCTGGCAAGAGTGGAGCAGCAGTTCGAGCTCAACAGGACCCCACCGGATAGACAAATTGCAGCGGCTAGGATTTCTATGGAAGGGGCAGCCCTCTATTGGGTGACATGGTTAAAGGCGCGCAAACCCGGCATATCCTGGGAGGAATTTAAGCAAGCCTTGGTGGCTAGATTTGATTCCCGATATCAAGGAAACAGATTTGAGCGGCTAGCTGGCGTTAAACAAATTGGGCAAGTGGAAGATTACAATACTTTGTTTGTACAACTCGCCAGTCAAGTACCCGGATTAACTGACGATCATTACTTGGGCTATTACATGAGTGGGCTTAAGGAGATAATCCGAAGCTCGCTGCGATTACTTCGACCAAACAACCTGGAGATGGCTATGGAATTAGCTCGCGAAGTGGAGTATAATCTGTCCGTCCAAAGTGGAGAAAGTGGCAGCCTGAATTATCATTCTTCGGGGGTACGTTCCAGCAGTTTTGTAAGGGCAAACACGGGTTCCCCGTTGACTGCCACCGGTGACAGCTTACAGGGCTCAGGGGGCAGCTTTGCGAAGGATAGTGGACAGCCTCCGGGGACAAAGTCAGGGCTGTCTGGGCAGCCTACGACATGATCCCAGTTCACCCGTCTTGCGCCAAAAGAGTTAGCAGATTTGAGGGCAAAAGGATTATGCTTTAGATGCAAGAAACCATTCACGCCAGGGCATGATTGTCCCTTTAAGCAGCTGCGGGTAATGATAGCCGAGGAGGATGAAGAGTTGGACCTCAAGCAGCATGAATTCTGCGAAATAACCGGCCAGGAAAGGGTTCATGAAGGAGAAGGATATTTTCCAGTCTATATACTATGTCTGGAAATTTCAGCTCCCAATCAGCGAGTTTTCAACCTTGAGGACAAGGTTATTTTAAGGGGGGTGGATTCATATGAAGCGGGAAGAGCATGTGGCGGGACCGGACTTGGGCCCACTTCCGTGGGCCGGTTACGGGCTGTTTAATTAATATTTATTATTCCTTTTATTTTGTTTCCTAATTTAATTTGTTTCCTAGTAGGATTTATTTAGGACTTCTATTCTTACTAGAATTAGAGGTTTCCTATTTCTATTTAGTTTCCTAGAATGATTTAATTAGGAGTTCTATTAGAACTAGAGGTTTCCTATTCTATTTAGTTTCCTAGAATAATTTAATTAGGATTCCTATTCTTATTAGACCTAGAGGGTTATTTATACCCCTTGTATGCTTCATTCTTGATAATCTTGGAATAAAAGTTGGTTTAGCCTTTTGGCTCTGGGCAACGGTATTTATTTATCGTTGATTATCTGGGCAACGGTTCACCCCGTTGATTTTATTTTTTCTGTTCTTATCAATTGGTCCGACCTGCCGGATCCCCGTCCCGCCAAGATGACAAGAACTCAGAACGAACGACTGACGGAATTGGAGGCTGAACAGGCCCTGGTAAATCAAAAGCTCGATTCACAAGGAGAGAAACTGGATGTACTGGCTCGGAAACAGGAGGAGCAGGCCGCCCGGCTTGCGGAAATCGCAGAATCCCTGGCAGCAATCGCAAAGGCCATGGTACCGCCAGCGAAGTCTCCAAGCACGACCATCGAGAGCGGCTCCTCCGCCCACATCGCGACTGCTTTCACCGACGAGGGCGGACCGCGCAGCGCATCCACGACACTGCTTCCCTCATTCGACGGTGAAGACCCAATTGGGTGGCTGGCAAGAGTGGAGCAGCAGTTCGAGCTCAACAGGACCCCACCGGATAGACAAATTGCAGCGGCTAGGATTTCTATGGAAGGGGCAGCCCTCTATTGGGTGACATGGTTAAAGGCGCGCAAACCCGGCATATCCTGGGAGGAATTTAAGCAAGCCTTGGTGGCTAGATTTGATTCCCGATATCAAGGAAACAGATTTGAGCGGCTAGCTGGCGTTAAACAAATTGGGCAAGTGGAAGATTACAATACTTTGTTTGTACAACTCGCCAGTCAAGTACCCGGATTAACTGACGATCATTACTTGGGCTATTACATGAGTGGGCTTAAGGAGATAATCCGAAGCTCGCTGCGATTACTTCGACCAAACAACCTGGAGATGGCTATGGAATTAGCTCGCGAAGTGGAGTATAATCTGTCCGTCCAAA